TATACTAGTTAATGTGTAAATAGAAGACACTAGAAATGTTGTTTATACAAACATTCAGAATAAATTTACTTGAAAGGAACTACTAATCAACTAGTATAAATTACGCTGCCGTGGTAGGCTTAGAACAGAACACTCGAGAGAATATCGGCTTTCCTAGGAAGATCATTTATACAACTTCGTCTTCATTCGATTTTAATTTGGATGTTCCTGATAGCCGTCTTTGCAGATAAGAATGCGATAATGGTCCCCTATTTCCCCGTTGAGCTACAAATATATGCATGTTGTCCTTGATCAATGAACAACTGTAAGGCGGAAAATTTTATCCCAAAAAACTGCTGTGAAAGACAATTCAGAGCCGGTAGCCCGGAAATAATTTGAATGGGTATGAAGGTCAGGTTTCGGAAACGGGTCTATAGAAACAGTCGTTAAAATACCATGTTCAACGGATATTTACGTGGGAAGAGTGAGACAAGATGTTGTTGACCCGTTCTACTGAAAATAAGTTAATTTACGCACTGAATTGTCCTGAGGAAGGTTACCGGAAGTGATTCAAAAGGATTAACAGGAAAATCGGTGAGGAAATTGCATTTGTCAAATCAATGGAGACGTTTAAAACAGACATTGCAATGCGTGGGTTGCTGCGATTTGATGTGCGCAACATTAGGCAACGCTCTTCTTACAGCAATTAGTTTGGTTAAGTACAATATATGATTTTCGCACCTAAAAAACGGGTACGATGTGTACACCATTGTAGCGTCTGATTTCAGAAATCTGCGCGGTTTATTCCAGTTGATTGTAAAGACTTTTCGAAAAAGTGCTTTAGAAGGAATAGACCATTGGAAAGGGGCAAATTCAGTAGCCCGATAGTAAGTTTACTTACGACTGGAGCAAACAATAATGCACAGTAACTATTGCAGGATTGAATTTCATATGCGAAGTCTACCCCTACATATATGCTAGATTGACTTAACCGTTAGTAGGGAAATTAAGTTATTTAGCCAAGTGTATCCAAAGGGCACGAGAATTTCTCTGGATCTGTTATACAAATAACACTAGTTCCCTCTGTCCTGGTGGAATTTGAACATGGAAATGGGTTTAGTGTAGTCAAGACGTTAAACCGCAGCTTCTTCTAATTCATTTCGCCTGATTCCCTTAGGGAAAATAAACAATACTAAGAATTATC